GTAAGGTTTATTATGAAATAAACAATATCATTGAAGTTATATCAATATCATCAACCCGATGTGGGACAATAAACGTTAAGACCTCATCCCTTTTAACGTATGGTCAAGGTGAATCTATCAGCCGCCAATACGTGAGTTTGGTTTACAGCTGCATCAGACGTATTGTATAGGTCTGGCTGTGACAATATCGTGAAATGAATGACTCAAGGCGCAAAATTTCACTTTATATGTCATGTTCGTAGTAGTCTTTTGTGGACTTAGTGCTGTATCGTTAACACATTGTTTAATTTGCTTCGCCTGAAGCCAACAGAAACGTGGTAGGCTTAAATAAAAAAACATATCTTCTTTAGGTACAATCTGTTTTATATATATTAGGCGTTCTATAATACAATTATAATGGGCAGGTTCTATGTGAAAATGAAATGCATTGCAGCACATTGCGTTATTGTCAGCTAACGAAAGTTGTAGCTGACGTGTATCAGATTTATAAAAGCTCGATCATGTATCTTAGATGACTTGATGAACAAAGAGGATCATTAAATGCTCACTAAGTGCCTTTCAGATGGCTTTGCGGCATCTATATCATATTAGAGGAAGCCTAATGCAAAAAATGGACTGAAAACGCATACAAAGTCGTTAATCAACCTTAAAAACAGATGTATTTTATCATCCAGATACGCCATATGCCCCTAAAGAATACAAAAACAAATTGTATTAAGACCCCTTTTTGTTTTTTCAGCTCGCCCTATGCCGATTTATCGATACTTAATTGGCAATTCCCAGCACATGTTGTGCACTTTTAAGAAGGTTAGTCTTGAAAACGTCACTTCTTAATAGTTGTTGTTTAAGATTCCAGATCGATATTGATACAACGTCGATATCGTGAACGGTCGCTGATTGGCTGCAAAAATAAGTAGGCGGAAAACAGACATTGTATTGAATTATAATCAACGCGGGTACACACTGTTCTCGAAGATTTATAGTTATTAGACGAGAGATCAATCTTCTGTCGACCAACAGTCACATATTTTTTCGTTTACAAGGCTAAGTAATGAAGCAAAGGTCTTCCACGACCGCTCTTCAAGCATATCAATTTCATTGCCAATCTTTATACAAGGTTTAAGCTGTGTCATATGTATCTAAGTCGAAAGAACAGTGCCATTTGGAAACCGCAAAGCTCATTAAAAATAGTAATTGTTACACGTGGACAATGCCTGTACATTAGAAGCAACACTATCTAAAATATACCCTCGACCCTGTCTTAACATATGACCACCCCTTTCTTTGGTACGACAGAAATACCTAAGATTCACCTAGCTTAAGCATCGGCCTAATTAATATGTCACAAGTCGATCTTTTTGCACTACCATAACTATTTACACTAGCGCAATTAATGTGTCTCAAGTATCGTTCTACCGGCATGAACATGGCTTTTCCAATTATTGCAGCCATTTTATGTCCTATCTCAAATTTCTGGTACACACATGTCTTTCGAGCACTACTCGCTCTCTCTTTATTATTTCCCCCTCACGAAGTGCATTGAGATCGTATAATGGATATAGCTGAATGTATTCACGTTTGTCAATTGGTGGTGACCGTTCGCACAGTGCTTTTCCAACAATAATGTGGCACCATATCATAGATTTGTGCACTTTACAACGATGTTAAACACCACAAACAAGATGGGAGCAACGCAACAAGTGTGGATTTACTACTTTGTATGGACACGTATTCGATACCGGATATATTAGGTCCAGCCGATTAAACAAATGGCCGGATTGATTGTAGAGAAGCATTTACACTTAATAAGCGTTTAATGTCGTAGCCAATAAATACAATCCCACATAATGAAAAAAATGTTATTGCCTGAGAGTAGACACATCTAATGAAGGTCTATGTGCTGTGCGTGCCACGACCACTTGATCCTCATTCACTCCATCATCTTCCACGAAAAAAATCTGGGTGAATAGCTTCACACGACACGGTGGTACGGGCTCAGTTTGTATAAATAATACCAACGTACAAGTCTCACATGCTCTCAATAACTCGATAGCTTATGAAAACGTTACATGTCAGATTGCCATGTGTGGCTAGATTCGAGTAGCCTTTCTTTTGTGCGTAGCTATTTTTACTCGTCCTAAATGAATGCTAGAATGTGGGCGCAGATTGACGACGACGACGACAAAGACGACGACGACAAAGACGAGGACGCGGGACGTGCCACACTCTAAGCCACTCACCAAAATACCAGGAGATTAAATAGAATAAGTTATGGAAGGATTCGTGCGAATGGTAAATAACAATGACGTATCGCGACGGAGAAAAAGGTCGGAGAAGCCATTGCATTGCCGATCCAGAATATGAATGACTTGGTAACTGAGCTATTTGACGTTTTCATATCTCAGCAGACTAGGTTTACGTCCTGAATCGATACAGAATGACGTCATCGTCATTCGCGTGTTTACAAACAGCATTTTACTCGATCGGCAACGACCTGTACACAGGTGACGTAAACGCATGATTTACAGTCTAGTATGTTGCCGCTTTCGCTACCGCTGATCACTGTGACCGAACTTTTACAACGCCATCGATCAAGTATAATTAATAACTTCTCGAGTTGCAATGATTGGGAGTAGTAGTAGTAGTAGTAGTAGTAGTAGTAGTAGTAGTAGTAGTTGTTGTTGTAGAGAAAAAGAGAGAGAGTGTTGTTGTTGTTGTTGTGCTTGCCGCAGTGATGACAGTACTGATTGTAGTAATATAAATGTGATAGGCCAAGTCCTTGGTTTGTCGATTTATGCTCTGATTACCCAACGACTTAGTGTATTACATATTGCGTTAGAAGCCGAAATTATTCAGTCACGTCTTTACCATATGCTCAAACAACAAATTTAAGTCTTTGTTGAAAGCATAGCGGAATTTAGTAAGCGACTGTCGGACATCTAACTCCATCATGTGCATCATGTGAGGTTTCGCAGGTCGTGTTCTAAACACGATCGCGGATTGTGCACCTGCAGACAAGATTGAGATTCAGTGCCAATCTGGACAACGAACTTACATTATAATCGAAAGGCTCGACATTCACGACGCAATGGACTACTCCCGGGCCAAGAGGTATCGCTGTGATGGCCACGTAGTGTAGCAACAGATCGAAATTGATGCACAAGTGTGAGGCCTATCTTCTCTTGCTCAACATGCGGCTATTTACTTATAGCTTCGGTATCTTGGTACCATCATGTTTTTTATCCTCAACGACTTAGCAGTCGAGGCCTTTGATAAAGTATTCATTCTTTGAAACAGTGCTAACAAGGTTTTGGTGTACTGATTCGAAGTCCAAGGAAACGCGACGGCTCGTAAACGATCGAGCATCGTCTGCAGCCGGTCATAAATTATTGGTTAGTTAGTGTATTGTTTAGTGGATCGTGAGACACCGTTCGCGCTCGACATGCGTTAACGTAGGAGAAATAAACGTTGTCAAAATCAATGCAACTGCATTTGGCAATCGGTGTATCAGGAGGCTGTTATGCTTCATATCCGCGAACGCTAGCAAGCATATAAGCGTCTCACACACAGATGCCTGATTTATGTATCGTCGCACTTATTTGTGCAAAAGAAAGCACTGTGCAATCTTGGCCAGTGTTTAACAAGCTAGCTGCGTGCCGTAAGACGCACAAGACATCACACGACACGCTGTATCAAACGTACTTATCAACAACGCTTCCATACCAGCAGAAATAACATGATGTAGCGATTCATCACGCCCATTGAATGAATACATACGTACAGGGCATCTTTTACGAAATATACCAGCTATCAATATGCACAGATGCTAGTGATTCGTTTAATGGCAATCCTATAGGTATTGTCAGTCATTAGTAGCGCTCGATGAGCGCAGCCGCTGATGTCCCGGTCAGCGCTGGTTGGCTTGGGTATCATCTTCGTCGCTTGTATGCCCTGAAGAAATGATTTACTAAGCTCATAAGCAAGTGCGTCTGACCGAGGACGTGTGCCAACGATGCTATGTAAGTCAGACGGCCCTTTCTTATAGGCAGCTTTTCCAGCAGCATTGAGACAACTTCTACGACACATTCGCTTCTTTGAAATGCAGCATGGAAGATCTGCTGCGCTCACGCGTGCCCGATTTATAGGAATCGATGCTTTAGGCGCCTGGCTGCAGTAGTTGCCAATGTCCATACGACGAGCGCTCTTACGCCGGCGACCGCATCGACAACGCCTTGAGCACCTAATCAATGTCAAGATCGCGGTATTGAGTAAATACATCGATGTCGTTTGCGCAATTACATGTATCGTAAGATCATTTTCTTTAGAGACAAGAAACAATAGTGTCGGGGGAATATTTATTATATCAACACGAAATAAATGCTAGCGACATTTCATCGCGTCACGAGTGGTACGTGCAATGGATTTTCAGGCGCTGTGAACAGAGAGATATGCGACAGCTTGCAAAGAAGGCTTTTGTCTTGTGTGTACCAAACGCCGTGATGCAGCCTCATGTGTGACTGCAGTTGACTGTAATGGAGAGAGCAGCAAGTCAAAAATGGACGCAGCGGACGATGAAGTGACTATTTGCAGTGGAAACATATATGTGTGGTGTGCAGTGCCTCCAGGTCATCAGAATCTCGAACAGCATTCTACAGCTTGATGCAGTTGCTCGACGCGACCTAGGTCCTCACCATATATCCCGAGCGCAATGACGATTGAACAAAGAGAACCAAGCAGTGTGACTAAAAAGTTTATTCGATATCGCGAAGGAGGCATTCCGGTCCATGGCGCATATGCGTTGCACGGTTTGGCTGGATATGCATCGACTAGCCGACTGTGGTCAGGTTGGAAGACCGTGGCACCATACGCGTCATCGTACGTTGCTACGCGAGTGCGACAATTGCTGAAGTCGGGTGAACCTTCTGTAAATGCGCTTGTGCAAGACGCCGATGTCACACGTAGACCGGAAAGAAACGCGTGTTACGAGACGCGAATCGTAACTAAGCATTCGGCAGTGCTTGCGGACGATCGGCCATAGCCGTCGACCAGGGTGTGTCTTGCGCACGAAGCTTTGACAGGATCTGGGACGTGAGACCCAATTCTGAATCAGTAGGCTCATGCAAAGCCAGCAAAGACTTTACGAGTTCTTTCGATCCTGCGTCCACGTCCTGATGGCCTTGTAGGAACATGAGATACGCCCGCAAGTTCGCCCTTGGAACTTTGGTGAGCGTCCAATCAACATCCCCTATCGCGAAAGTATGATGCACTCGGTACAGAGCCACATACTTCAAGACCTGTTCGAGTCTCTTGCAGTTGACGAACTCCTGCAGTGGGGCCATCTCGGCGCGGTAGTCAAATAGGCTTACCTGTTCCCAAGGCATCCTTCTAGCCGCGTGCACAGGATTCAAACCACCATCTGCCCACGCCTGCAACATCTTCTCAGCCACGACTGGGTGGTTGCTCAGCAATTGCAAAGTTGTCTCTTGTACGAAAGTCGGTTTCGCTTTTATCCTGCGAAGCTCTTCCAAAAACGCCCACACGTTTTCTGATTTGCCTTCCTTCATCAGAATGTTGACGAAAAATGATATGGGATCGAAGTTCTCATACACGAACGGACGACCTTTTGCCTTAGCCATCTCGTAAGCCGCTCCTCTTTGTTTAGCGACGATGACCTTCACATAATTGAGCCACTGCTTGAGGTCATCATAGATCTTTTGATACTGAGCCGGATCTTCAAAGCCGACCTTAATAAGATCATCAGAGATAGGCAGCAAACGGAAGAATTCTTCAGAGCTCACGCGAGCATCCAGACATGCACCACTTATCAATTGTCCGGCATGGTCTTTTCTCACGGCTAGCGCTCTCAGCATGCTGTGGGCATCATCGACGTCACGGTAGCGAACCAAGGTCTCAATGTGCTCCTTTAACTCGCCGATGCTATAACTTGGATCGTCCTCGCCAGCTTTGGAAATGTGGGTAGGATGGCGCTCCACAAGCTGTTGAAGGTATGACATCGGTGTTTTGAGATCCTCAGGAAGCGCCTCGAAGTCGATCTGAGCGCCCACCGGATGGGTGGCGCGTCCGGAGGTGAAGATCTTTCGCAATCTGCTCAGGATTGACTTGATATTGGCGAATTCGGACAGCGTCGACGAGCTAATCCTCTCTCCTCGTTGTTCGGGTGGACGTGGTCGTCGCTCGATCCAGCCGAGTTGCGTGGTCCCAAGATTCTTGGCATGTCAGACTCGTCGAACTTCGGATGCGGGGCATGAGCGGACTTGTAGAGAGCGTCATCTTGGGTGTGATTACCGGCCGGTACTAGCGTTGGTTCTGTAGCGGTCCATTGCAAGGCGACAAGGGACATGAATAGTGGAAGAAGCTTGCACATCGTGTCGATGGAGCACTTTGGGGAATGAAAAACCGCATCGCAAACATCGTGGCCGCACGCTCAGGACCACCCGATTCTTGCTCGGCGTTTGACCAATGCAGCTGGCTTCCAGATCTGGTCGCCGTGTCAGCACCCACTGGACACGGGGTTGAATTTCGTCTAATAAGCGGCCAGCTTGTGTAAGACACGCCACAGAGAATGTCCTCTCGATATCAATATCGGGAATGCCTAATTGATTTATGGGGTTGACACCTGTCAGCCACCGGACAAGGACCTTTCAGTTTAGAGTAGGAATGTTTAAGATAGAGTGTGTAATAAAAGAGATTTGTGAATACACACCCACTCTTTGAAACGTACAAACACCCCTAATATAGACGGCCCCTTCGTAAGTACCGTAACCTCCCTAACTAGGTACTGCATTGCTTGACATACAGAATGCCATAAAAATGTTCTTTGCTACGTACACACCCCTCCGAGATACAGGCCTCTTTTGTTTCAGCACACAGCCTGTCGCATGACTTCCGCTCTCATGATTCGGTACACCCCCTATAAGTACTCCTAATACTATCACATCCCTATTTAAACTGTAAATTTAACTTTTTTGATCAAGTATCGAGCATACCTCAAAATCCCGTCTACTTTTCACCTGATCAAAGAATGCAGTGCTGTTGGGTAATATAGATAGCGATACCTTTGTTTCTTTTGCATTCATTTAAGCAATATGGCAAATGATTAAATTAGGAAAGTTGTTGACTGGGTGTGTATATGTCCCCCAAAACATGACAATAAATATGCAGTGCTAGTTTGAGGTATGCTCGATACTTGATGAAAAAAGTTAAATTTACAGTTTAAATAGGGATGTGATAGTATTAGGAGTACTTATAGGGGGTGTACCGAATCATGAGAGCGGAAGTCATGCGACAGGCTGTGTGCTGAAACAAAAGAGGCCTGTATCTCGGAGGGGTGTGTACGTAGCAAAGAACATTTTTATGGCATTCTGTATGTCAAGCAATGCCGTACCTAGTTAGGGAGGTTACGGTACTTAAGAAGGGGCCTCTGTATTAGGGGTGTTTGTACGTTTCGAATAATGGTTGTGTATACCCATAAGTCTCCTTGTTAAGGCTAAATACGGTAAAGTTCCCCATTGATCCTTGTAGCACTCCCTGCATTCCCAAGGCCTGCGCCCGACCGATAAAAGTAAATGTATTAAAAATGTATAATATGGGCACTAGGTTCCAGCGTATTCATTGAATCACAAGTCTCTACAACAAGACCTTAGCGGTTCTGCGAGTTCGTGTGGCTCTCTGTGTCTAAACTATATTAGTTTCGTAAGGCCTATTTAAATCGAAGTCGTTGATTAAGTTTCGTAGAACGAAGGGGCTACGAAGTTATTCGGTCTTTTTTTCGTATATCAAGGTAGCCATACTATCCCTCCATCTCACACTGGTCTTAATACTACGTTTTGGATACCGCTAGCCTCAAGATCTAGTCTTTGCAATACAATTTGTTGAACGCCAGCTCCTAAATCTAATATTTGCACTGTTCATATCATTTACTAGGTCCTAGATCTGGTCTCCTAATTTACTCTGTGTCATCGAAACCGATCAGGTATGGCCTACAAAATCTATAATTCTTTCAGCGTATTCGCTGAATATCGTAAATAAAGCTAGGTGGATTGAACGCATTAGCCGATAACAGACGCAAGTCATCATCAGGAGGTTGCAAAGCAAATTCATGAAGATGTCTATACGCGCACACTGCTGGCGGGCGTCAATTATAACTTGAATTAATTGAGCGCAACATACAATCTCCGACCATCCCATGACAGTAGGAATCATCCTCGGGACAGACTACCATCAAATTACCATTAGTAGTCTCCAGACGAACTCACTTAGAGTTTGCGGTAGATGCACATGGTCATAAGACGAAATGGATTACAGTAATGGTGCTCAATATGTTTTAGGTGTATTACATCCTAATTGATTAAGCGAGTTTAAGCTGGAAATATGTGCAACAAGAGCACCGTATTATATAGCACTTAAAATTGGCTAAATTCGGACATGTCATCCGCGTTTGAGCTACACGAGAATGGAGAGGGGCTCACAAAGGAAAGTACGAGGTTGGCCCTGATCATTATAGCTTGGTCTTTTCAGCACAATGTAATTAAGTACCACGCATTTAGCAATGAGTCACATGCAACTTCCAAACCATAAGCATACACTAGCGTTGCAGCTCTGGCTTTAGGATCGATCGATATGTTGCGAGTGCAATACCGTATTGCCTAACAGACAGTCGGCTCCGCCTTCTTTCGTTTCTGCACTTAATCTGTGTCTCCGAAGTCTCAAGAACCTGATACGTAATTGTTTATCTCAAAGACTGAATATCGTTTGATATATCACCAAAATTAAGCCATACCTATCAGCCGATCAAGCCCAATTTTTGCCGCCAATATGGAAATAGTCGTGCGTGTGTGATTTAAGATGGTCATGACGTTGAGCAATACAGCACTGTCACTAGATTAACGCACTATGTACATAATAAAGAGTCTGCGAAAGCTAATATTGAATGTATCAGTCTGTTTCGGATGATCTCGGCGCTACTTCTTTCCATTTCCATGAGGTTCAGCCATATTCGACAGGACCAGGGATAACATAAATGGATAATACGACACATACAGACAAAAAATGAGCATGATTAGAGGCCGGTCGATACCTAAACAAAGCTACACGAACGATAGCCAATGTATGAGGACAGATGACACGGCAAAACATAGAGCGTTATACCATTCGAGAAGGCTAGACTGATCGGAGAAACAGAGTATCTATATCATGTGCAATGCAACGAGTGTGGACTGCTGTGTTGATACACAATATGTTATGGATATATATGGTCATATGGTACCGTATCGAAGGTACCTATACGAATATGGAATGGTCCTGTAATCATAGCAACACCAAATGAATCATTTTACCAGTATTTGTGAATAGGACGGATATAGAATTGGTCAACTTCTTTGTGATAGCGTTTCGACAAATTATTTCCGAACAGGTTAAAATAGTTCTTAGCGTACTACAAATTCTGAGTGAGAGGCGGACTGTGTTGCATACTCTTATACATTTCGACAAAGCTGTTAAATATCGAATAAAGCTATAAAACAGATTACTTTTTATCAAAGTCACACACCAATGCGAATCATCTTCGCAATAATGGTACACTTTAATGCCATCTTAAGGTAAGTAAACTTGCAATTTCCTGAAAATAATCTGTCATTTCGTTGTACAGGTGTCTGGCGTGGTGCTTGTCCATTTGCAAGGTCTATCCATTAATTTTGATTTTTTCTACTTCTTCGGCTAATCTGCTTCAAGACGTTTTAGGGATTAACTATTATCTATTCTGGGGTCTCGGGACGTTTTCCACATGTCAATATCACGCCATCTCTGCAATTCTGCTCATGCACTTCGCCCAATGCATCCCGCTGATTTCTCAAATTGTAACCAAGAAGGATAGTACAATTATGTGCGCGTAAAGCCGTTCGACGGCGTATGCCATATAGAAGATGGAATCATATATGAAGCGTCTGTTGTACCGGCAAAGTCTCGCGCTTATAAATTTATAGCCAATCGAAAAAATGTTTCAAAATTTTATAAGAAATGCGTCGGGTAAGAAGCGCGAGCTGACGTCGCACTCATTCAGGCTCGTGAATTTAAACAGATACTGGCGATTATTAGTTGATTATGCATTAGATTTTCGACCGAGGATCTTGAGAAATTTCAAAATACAACGATGGGTTTTGAACATATTTTATCACCACATGCAATTTTTTACAAGATCAAGCGCGTGTTAAATAATCGGGATACGCATTATGATAAAATTGTATTTGAACCGTTGTTTTCGATAAAATTGTCCGTTAAGCCTTCCATGTTCACAGCTGCTCATCTTCAGCACATGCAGCATACTTAATGATGGCATATCTAATGTTGACCAAGTTGTGCTTATATGATGATCTACAGCATGTATTTCCCCCCACAACTTGCTATTTATATTGCAACACTTAAGTAATCTAGATATCAAGGGACTCAGGTAAAGGCGGATCTCTACTACGTACAGGTTATTAGATAGTATAGAAGACTGGCACGTAAAGAAAGTTTGTAGAGCTATTGTATCACTAGAACAAACATAAAGCCGCACGTTCACATTAGATGACTATCAATAAGCGAAAATCTGTATTTGTGTAATTATGTGCTGTGAATATCGAATTATAGCAGTCGAATTCGATATAAAGAGAACAAATCGTGCGACATTAGCTACTGTCCAGATTCGATGAGGGTAAAACCTTATAAATTTATGCATGATTTTATGCCTGACGATTAACTTAAAAACATTGCAGCGATTCACCATTCGACGGTATTTTACGAATGGTACACATGCAAGCTGCGTATATGGAGGTATGGTATATATCGGCAGTACGTTACTCAGCTTGTGCACCCGTCGGTGGGACGGGTTGCACTCCCCCAGGTGGACTCGTGTCAATGGAAAACCTGACTTTGGTTGAGATGGGGTCAAGGTTCGATCTCGGTGCGGAAATATTCACACCGCGATTGAGGTTGACGTGATCTCGTATAACTTTCA